ATGGGGTGGTTTGGTGTCCACCCACCTTGATTATTGTACTTTATGGACAATTAAGGAATTTTTTAAAGGGAATTTTTTTTTCTTATGGCCATTTTCAAGGACCTTTATGCCTTCGGTGTCTTTAAGGCTTGTAACATGGCTTTACTATTGTCAGCCTTCTCTAAATTTCTGCAGGAACACATTCAGGTAATAAAGAGTAATTTACACCATATTTGTCTTCAATTGCATTTGTCTTTAGCACTAACCTTCTACAAAATATGAAATCCTTTCTACTAATCTTTACTGAGCATCTACTATGTGACCAAAATCTCACAGATTTTACCTCATTTAAACCACGTGAGGTTAAGGAGTTGTCAGTTCAATTTTATAGGTTCAGAGAATTTAAAAAACTTACGCAAGCCACACAGTTATTGGGTATTACAGAATACAAATGCCCGTGTGTCTGACTTCACAGCTCCCATGCTGCTCTAGAGGGACTCATCGACTTTGAACAGTTCCATGTAAGGGTTATGTGCACTAGCTCTGACCAAACCAGTCCCAAGTTTGAATCCCAAAACTTGCACTTTCTAGCAATGCAATGATAACAGCAAACAGCTTTGAATGTTTTCCAAGTGCTCAGCACTGTATGTGCACAATATGTCATTCAACCTTCCTGAACACTGGGAGTGAGGTACCACCATTATCCATCATCCCCACTTTACAGAGGAGGAAATGGGCTTAAGAGCAATTGTGAGCAGAAATGAGATTTAAGCCCAGATGTCTGACGCCAGTGCATGTGCTCATAACTAAATGATATGAATTTTAAAAAGGAAACAAAAGTAGTTGAGGAGAAATGAATCCATTCTATGGAATGACCTATATGGTGCAGTAATTAAGAATGGGTACTCTGGGCCCTGGTTGGGTAGCTCAGTTGGTTAGAGCATCGTCCCAATACACCAAGGTTGTGGGTTCAGTCCCCAGTCAGGGCACATATTAGAGTCAACCAATGGCCCAGCCAGAGTGGCTCAGTTGGTTGAGCGTCGGCCTGTGCACTGGAAGGTTGCTGGTTCAATCCTGATCAGGGCACATACCCAGGTTTTGGGTTTGATCCCCAGTCGGGGCAAGTATGGAAGGCAGCGGATTGATGTTTCTCTCACCGTCTCTCTCTCTCTCCCCCTTCCTCTCTCTAAGCATGTCCTTAGGTGAGGATTTTTAAAAAAAGAGTCAACCAATGAATGAATAAACAAGTAGAACAATAAATCAATCTCTCTTTTTCTCAAATCAAATTTTTTTTAAAAGAGTGGGCACACTGGGGCAGGCTATCTGGGGATAAATAAATCTCAGGTCCTCCACTTGCTAGAGGTGTGACTTTGGGCAAGTCATTTAACCTCAGTGCAATGAGTTTGGGCAAGTCATTTAACATCTGTAAAATGGCCATATAGCAGTACCTACCTGTATTAGTTTCCTAGAGCTGCCATAACAAAATACTATACATTGGTGGCTTAAACAACAGAAATTAATTTTCTCACAGTTCTGGAAGCTAGATCAAGTCCAAGATCAAGTTTGCTGTCAAGTTTGGTTTCTTCTGAGGCCTCTTTCCTATAGCTGCATTCTCACTGTGTCCTCCATAGATGTCCCTTGGTCTGTGAGCTATATGTCCTAATCTCTTTTTATGAGGACAGTCATATTCGATTGGGGCTGACCCATAGGACTTAATTTTACCTTAATAACCTCTTTAAAGTCCCTACCTCCAAATGCAGTCACTTTGTGAGGTACTAGAGGTTAGGACTTCAATACATGAATTGGTGGGGAGGGCACAATTCAGCCCATAACACAATCTCATAGGATTATTGTGAAGATTAAATGAACAATACATGTAAAGCAAAGATCAGGGAACCTAGAATGTATTAAGAGCTTAATAACTGTTCAACATAACTGAACACTTAATTTAGACATAAGAGTATCCAGCAAGTTACAAATCTTTCTCTGGTAGGATATTGGCTGGAAGTGCCCTGGTGGCTCTTTCTCAGCCAGGTGCTCAGTCTGGCATCACCTTTACCTTATGGTCCATAGTCCCCATCTTGATCCCACAACTGTTCCATTCTGGTCTGGCCACTCCCTGAAGACAATGAGAAGCTCTCAAATTTTCTTTCTGGCCCTAGCTGGTTTTGCTCAGTGGATAGAGCATAGGCCTACGGACTGAAGGGTCCCTGGTTCCATTCCGGTCAAGGGCATATGCCTGGGTTGCAACTCGATCCCCAGTAGGGGGTAGGCAGCTGATCAATGATTTTCTCTCATCATTGATGTTTCTATCGCTCTCTCCCTCTCCCTTCCTTTCTGAAATCAATAAAAATATATTTTAAAAAAGTTTTTCTTTCTGTAACTGCCCCCACGGTTTGTCTTTAAAATGAGGAGACATTCTTTCCCAGCTACTCTCAGCTCAGCAAGTGCCTTTCCAATACTGCTATTTCTACTCTTTGGAAAAGCCACTTATTAAAATTTAATGACAATCACTTACATTTATAAAGCCATTTTCAATTTACAAAGCTTTTTCCCCATCCATTATCTCTCTTAATCCTTACAACATCTGTAGGAAGGATGTTTTTTCTCCATTTTATAAATGAAGAAAGTAGGGCTCTGAAGAGTAGCATCCTTGACCTGGGTCACTCTGTTGATCAGTGGCAGAGATGGGCCTCAAATTCTGGTCTTTCAGTTCTAAGATGTTAGGAGTAGCTCACCTATTCAGGCATTCTTTTACAGTATAAACAATCCAGGATATCAGCCCTGCTCTCTTTTGGGGGGATGTAGGTAAGTTATTTGGGACTATTTTTTTTTTTTTTTTTTGAAACAACAACTGGTCCCTTTCCCTCCTGGAAAAAAAAAAAAAAGACAATTGGCAACCTTACATATTTCCCCCCCAAGATAGAGGTAAATTTAATCAGACTGACCCCTGTGTGAGGTCCAATATTTGGAACCCACTAGTAAAGATTATTTTTCAAAGCCCACTTTCATCTTAGCTTTTTAAAATCAAAGCTTAATCCGTCCACTTTACAGATGGGGAAGCAGAGGTTCAGAGAGCGCAAGCACAAGGTCAAAGAGGTAGTAAGGAGTCAGGGTTTGTCTGAGCGCCAACCCAGGTCGCCTTGGCAGATCCTCAGCCAAAGCTATTTCCCTACAGGGAAAGAAATGACCCATGCGGCCTTCTTGGAGTGCCCCCAGGGTGTGCTCGGCCTCCTTTGAGCCTGGATTTGGATGCTTTGTTCTTAATGATGTACCCACTTCATGCCAGGCGCTGGGGACGGGGTAAGGAGGGTGACAAACACGTTCCCACTCTCCTCCCCTGTCCCCTCACCGCGGGACCTGTTCCTTGCCTGGCGGCCAGTGAACCCCCACCGCAGGCACGGGCCGCTAACAGTTTGGGGGTTCCCTCTCCCAGAGGTGTTGGCAGTTTCCTAGGAGACTCTGGGAGCCTTCAACGCCCACAAAACCCAAAGGACTGGAAGCGTATAGTGCAACTTGAGGCGCTGTGATAGGCTGTAAGGAAGGTAATGTGGGAGAGAGAGATCAGTTCAAACCCTATCAAATAACACCGCGTTCGGCCCCGCCCCATTCCCATGGACTTTGCGGGAACCCACAGCCCCACAATTTAGGCTGGAAGAAGGGGGCCCCCCAAACCAGAGGGCCCTACCGTGCAGGGGACTTACGGCTCCGGCTGGGCGCGCTGCGGTATCGCGCCACCCCGACCCGGGTC